CTCTGTGTACAGATATAGGGTTAAGTGTAGGGTCAAGAGAGGTAGAGTTATGAGACCGTACCGGTCCACTCCAACGTGGCCTCATATTATCTTTCCCTTCGGTGGTAGCTCCGAACTTCCGGTTTGTTAAGTTCCACATCAGGTCGAGTGAATTAACTAGCTGCCACAACACACTTTTAGTCATCTGGAGACGCTTGTGCATGGTTAATAGAGCAGAAGTTGTGAAACAAGTCAGCACCGGAAGCATCGTTCCAGATCAAACCGTCCGACTGAGGATGCGATAATCGTCTTGGTATCAAAGCATTTTAAGGAAGGTAAATAGACTCTCTGTGACTTTCGAACCAAACACTATGTCTTATGGAAAGAAAAAGTGGCAAATTCCTATTTGAAAGATCCGCGCAAATGAAGACAAGATCCAACTGAAACATGTGTCAAGCTCCACAAAATGTTGGTTCTGGAAGTACAGATTCATTCTTCAGTTGACAGCTGCAAGACTCGCCTGCCTAAGCAGAACATCCGGGTTTCGCCGTTCGAACGTCTGTAAAACTGTTATTTAAATTAACCATATGAATGAATGGAACCAGACCGCCACGTGACATTAAGCCACACTGCTTGGCCCATTATCAATGCTCATAGGTCACGTATACCCCTACGTTAATCTTTTTCAGTCATGGTAGGGTTACTGATAAGGTCCTGACCACCTACGGTGATTTGGTGAACTATAAGCCAGCCGACTGTGTAGATAGGATGTTCGATCCGTATGGATTATATTTGACAGTCCACCCTTTGGTGGCTTTTCCCATGCGTAAACAACGCTTCCATCATGTTTTATACACCAGGCATCAGGAAATGATCACGCAGACATTGTGACGGTAGCCCTCACTAATCAATATACTTGGCGCAGCAGGCCCCCAGGTAATGCCAGCAGTTGATTTATCATGGATACTTGCAGCGGAGTGGAACTCGCAAGCAGGAACACGAAAAACTACAAAAAATAATCCCGCAAGAGATACCAATTGATCCTATGTAATAATGGCCTTTCGGTGAGAGATAGCGCAATGGATCAATGCTGATAAGGAACACTTTCAAGGACAGCAGCCTTTATTTGAAGCGGTATCTCATGAAAATTTATTTTGTATCCACAAGATTATACTGATTAATCTATGTTTAGCATTGAATTCTGTTTTAGCCATTTAAGTTCCGCTCCAGACGTCTCGATATATGTGTAGTGGGTAGATGAGCAAGCATCTGAAGGAAACCGGATGTGAACTTCACATTACTTTGAGGCTTTCCAGGTGAGAAGACGGGGTATCCTTCATCAGGTTCAATAAAAACGAAAATTTCATGTTTTAACTGTCGCTGATCTGGAATGTACATCATTGCCAGGACCACACACAGCTAAAAAATTGGCTACCGTAGTAAGCCCCAAAACAACTTTCTTATGCCAAGACCCTGGAAGCAGCATACAGCTTTACGGCACACATACATATATAGGTGTCAAAATGAGTTGCTTCCGGGAGCACTGTGACAGCTACATATGAGCCTAATAAGATTCATTCATATACCGGACAATTCCTGTTTTCATATGCTGTACAACGATGAGACGTGGTATCGTGTCTGCTGGTCTGTTTTTTCTTTAAATCTACAGATTACTTCGGATCACTAACACAGTCCTACATTTGATAGGAATCTCGTGGAGCTAGCAATATGTGCCTTGTCATGTGGAGCGTAATCCAGTCATGCTTAAAGCGGTACACTTAAATTGTTGGATCCGTTCAAGCAGTTTACTATGGAATATGTACAACGCTCATTACGATGAAGTTCCGTCCGT